ACTTGTATTGAAGTCTTCGAGCTGATATATAACGAGGTTTAATATTCTAGCATTTGGAGGTCGATGCGACAAAAACCATCAAAGGACAGACTTGTTCCAGTCCAAGTAAGTGTGAACGTATGATTCCCCAATGCAAGTCCGGAGGTAAAAAAATCAAATGGTAATCTAATAATATTGTTCATTGTGTTGAAACTATGATACCATGTTTTTACAACGTTACCGTCAATTCGGCATGAAAAGGTAATATTTGCGCTGAGTTGATTACAATAGATGGCTAGAGATCCATTATAAACTTGTAAAGTTCGTGTTGTAGTAAAAACCTTTGAAAAAGCGTTGGCTATTGTAGCATTCTGACCCGTACTGGCATTATCCCATATATTCGAAACAACTGGTCTTGTAATTTTTCCACCATCTGGGCTATCCAAATACAGACCGTTTGCGCATTGAAGATATAAAGTATCCTTATGAGGAGCCGCTGTAGACGTATTGCCGATACCAATAGCAGCATTGGAAGTTTCGTTGTTATTGAAGAATCTTACTTCAGAATATCCACTTGCATGACGGTTCTTGACTTTGAGAACTGATCCAGTATTATTGCTTTGTATGATACTTGGTGCGACAGAATTGAAACCAACATCTATCAGAGCGTCGGAATACAATTTGCCTGCGCCTCCTATGGGTCGTAGAGACAACGTCAGTGAGTTTGAATACCACCCAATGAATCTATGATTCGTGATGGTATCATATAGATGGAGATCCCCCCTCTCGTGTGCGGGGCTACAATTGATGTACATATTTCCCAGGTTGATTTGACTGAACCCTGTATTCGGAATCTTTAGATACGACCCGTTTATCGTCACATCTCCTGTTGTTATTAGAGTAGGTAACGTGGGTGTTGCACTTGAAAGTGTTGTCAAGTTTGCATGAAGAGGCTGTTTGTTACCAAGAGATGTAATTAATGAATTGCCAGCAACGAATATGTCGGTACCCACATAGAGTGATTTTACAACATGAACATTTCCATCTGGTCTTAATTGAAGAATATGAGATGATAGGTTGAAATTGTAGAAGCCCAGTGAGCCGTTTGGCAAACCTCCTGTACCATTTTGCCCTGCGTGGTACATACCCCATTGACAGTTAGATGTAGCATTGTTCATGGAAATAACAGCATTTCCGACTGTTGCTGTTGAGGGAGCGTTAATGTAAAAGCAAGAGGTTGAGTACCAGTACCTAAATTCAGTGTGAGAAGTTTGGACGTTATTGAAGTGTCATATCCAGTCAATTTAGTTTCAATGGGTGTAATACGAGTATTGTAATCGCTAGTTGCAACGTAATTCGGCACGTTGCTAAGTCTTGCAAAATCAAGTTGCCCTATTGAATCTGAAGTAGACAGGTCGACAGCTGATTTATTTGCCAAAGATCCAAGTTGTGATATTCTGGTATTGTACTCACTTGTCAAGACATATGAGGGAACATTGATAATCCGGGCAAAATCTAAATTTCCTACTACATCAGATGTTGACAAATCGACATTATTCTTCAATGATAGTGTACCAAATGCCGGTTTGTTGAGAATATTCGCATAATCTATTTGGCCAGTTGATGCACTTGAAGATAGACCCAATGTTGCTTTGATTGATGCCGCATTACTCGAGGTGATGATAGGCTGAAGTGTACTTGTATTCACATTTGCAATAGGAAGAATACCATTAACATAGGCAGTCGATAAATCGAGAATATCAAGATTCGATAATGCTTTCAGTTGAGATTGTCTCGTCTCTATTGGAGTGAACCGTGAATCAATTGCCGTTTGTCGAGTATTGTATGTAGACAGTAAAGTGTAATTTGCCAAGGGAATCGCTGCAATCTGTGTATTAACGAAAGTCTCTGTCGCAACTTTCAAATTGTTGCTATAAATATCATTTCCTACATAAAGTTTTTTTACGATTCCAACACCGCCTAATACAATGAAACTTCCTGTAGTCGAATTTGACGAATCAGTTGCCGTATTAACTTGAGCTGATCCACTAGACAGAATATCCAAAGCGCTAGATGTACCGTTGACCGATAATCTCAGAGAATTGTTTGCAGTGGCGCCGCCGCCTGACCTAATAATAAAATCTCCACTAATTGAATTGCTTACAAAATGCCCCCCTAGTTGCGCTCTAGCGATGGTCGGTCCAGATGTCCAATAGATACTACTTGATGATGTCGTGTTTGTAATTTCGATATTTGAACTAATAGAAAGACTTGGTAGCGATGGCACTGCACTTGAAAGACTTGTCAAATTGGAATGTGAAGCCTGCTTTGTAGCAATCGATGCGTTAATCGTATTCAAATCCGTGGTTCTTGTAAGATACGGACTGAGATCTGGAGTTCCTGAAATATTACTGTAAGCAATTTTGTTGCTACTTGTAATTAGATCCTGTTTCAGCGCTAAATTTGGAATATTCGAAAGTAGGTTATAATCCAGACGATTCGATGCTGATATTATATTCTGTTTGGTTGCAATTGAAGTGTTGATGTTTCCCAAGTCTATATTCCGATTCAAATAAAGACTCAAATCGGGTGGTGATGAAATATTAGAATACGGGATCTTGTTGGAACTTGTAATTTTTGTCTGATAGTCATTGTTCAAACTTGTCTCTAGTGCCGATACAATTGAAGATGTCAATTCTAATTGATCGGATAAAGGAGCAAGCAAAGATCCTGTTAAGTTTACTGTTTCTGGTTGAATCACCTGAGAGTAATATTGCCTCAACATATCGAGGTTTATTGCTTGCTCTTTGAATTCGCTGTCGATACCCAAATAACTACAAGAAGGTGGAGTATCGAATAATATTCTTGTACTTGGGCAGTTCAGTGCGTCAGGAGCAGTGTATATCACAACGTTGCTCCCTGGTTCCAATTTGGGCGTATTGTCGGGATTGTACAAGCCGTTTCCCTCTTCATCCTTCTCTTGTTTGCGCTCATGACCGAATATTGAAATAAAGCCGCCAACAAGACTACCTCCAGTTAGAGCACCACCGAGTTGAGCGGCCGCCCCCAACGCCGACGAGGATAAACCAGGTACAGCTGCTACACTCCCTGCCATATTGAATATACCGCCGAGACCCGATAATCCGCCGATAAGACCGCCGCTACTAGCCACCGTCGAGCCTGATCCACTTTTGTACACTTTGGGTTCACTGACATCAGTTTGAGTTTCTGTCGGATCTTCTGCTGTTCTTTTGGTTTGTAGATTGTCGATACTTGAAATCGTATAAGGACCTCCAGGCGTACCGCTGACAATGATACCAACGCCTGGAAGAATACTGAGCGTATTAGAAATCGTCTTGCCAACAACTGAAATACCATTACCCCCCACATAAGGCTGCTCAGTTTCTGGTTGATATGTGCATGATATAGTCGAGCCTGATATTTGAATATTCTGCCCAGCTGAATACGAGCCTCGAAAGTCATTACCAACTCTAGTTATACCGTTACTACATGTCAGGACTTCTTTAATATTCGTCTTGGTGCTATCCATTTGCAGCCCACCTGATACTGTAAGATCCAGGCTGACTTCATGGCTTGTATTCTCATGAATACCATTGCTGAATGTTCTTGTATCGCTCAATACTGAGCCATCGTATTCAAGATTCCCTTGGGTTTGAATATCTAGAAACACATCGTTACCATTTCGAATACCAAGGCCGTTACTCTGTTGAAATAAAAGGCCACTTGAGATTCGGCCGTTGCTGTCCACTCGAATACTCGAACCATTGACAATCGCGCTTGGATTCACACCAAGATTCAAGTTTTGATCAACAGCTAAACTAGCGTCAGTATTCAATTCGACTACGTGATTAGTAATCACTAGTGGACCAGCGCCCTGGTAAACCCCTTTCACGTATTCGGCAGTTGTCGCCTCGTAGTCACTTGGATTGCTATTTGGTGATAGATTCACATGTCCCACACTTAACTGATTCAGTGTCTCTGAATACGTAAAATCACTGGTGCGATTCAAAGATGACAGTCCTGAATCATACGGCACCTGGCCGATACCGGTGCTACGGAATGCTAACTTGTTTCCCTTTTGCTGAAAATTTTGGTGGTCGACCTCGAGTTTTACAAGCGATCCATCAATAGATTCGGTTATGTCTTTGTAAACACTAATCGCACCAGCGCCCTTCAACGCTTGGGAAACATCTTGTTTCTTGACATATAATCTATCATCGTCTATATATAGTGTCTCTTGATCAATATTCAGACGAACTGTATTGTCGATTTCATCTAATGGGTACTGGAATGAAAGTTTGTCGGGAATACGCGCCTTCAACTTTCCATTATCGATATCCATGGTATCATCATCTATATTCAGTGAGAGACGATGACTGTTTACGGAATTGAATGAAAATGGATCAGAAATTTTGAGACTCAACCCTTTTGCAAATAGATTCAAATCACCGTCCAGTATAGATTCTGCATCTTCCATATGAGAGGCGTAACGCAACTCAACTTCATCATCGGAATTGTAAAAAAGAGGACTATTTAGTTCCGGCTTTTGTTTCTTGGCCTGCAATTGATTCTCTTGATTAACGAATAATGTCTCAGAATCAATCAAAAGACTTTTGGACCGTTCATTGTTTGCATCATTTTCTTCAAATGAAAGCGGAACCGAATATGAAGGATCAATTGTGGTTAGACGACCTTCTTGATTTATATTCAATCGATGAGGATCGATATCTAAAGAAATGGTTGCCGTCCCCTCTGAGAGAGTGGTGGAAATCGGTGTCTCAGATGACACGGAATTTACCTTCATTTCGCCATTAGTATTTGATACTTTTGCAACATCTATACTGGAGTATTCGTCGCCCTTTAACATTCCGCTTATGAAGCTGTTCTGTATATTGGTGTTATCTAGCGTCCGAATACCTGAGGCATTTCTGCTATTAATACCGGACATCATATTACTTATAAGAAATCAAATGAAATAAGAAAGCTCTGTTGACACAATTTGCGTTAACAGGGAATCGAACCCTGGATATGTGATTGGAGGTCAGAAGTTATACCATTTAACTATTAACGCGCTATATCTATTCTTTACAAAAAAATAAAATCATCTAATCAAATGTCACAATCTTAGTCTTTGGTTTCACTGGCTTTTCTGGGATATTCGGTTTAGTTTCTGGTTGAGTCTTTACAGGTTCCATTATTACATTTTAGAAACAAAGTTTTATTAAAGATAGGTACATAATGCGTCTCATTGAATACAATCAAATACAGAAACAAACAATGCCTTCAGAACATTGACACTCATTGTGTTTCCAGCCTGTTTCGCCAAGACGCTGTCTGATACTACAATGTTTGTATCAATTACTGAGAAACCTTGTAGTTCGAATTTCTCGCGTGGAATCAAGTCTCGATTCAATTGCGTGACGAATATGGAACAACTCGTCGTTATACATGGAGAACATTGTTCAAATGTTCCTTCACCACCACGATGCTTCACTGCGTAGAGCTCTTCTTTGTGATCGATGGGTAGCCTATGAACTAGTCGTTTTGAATACTTGTCTGGTGTAAAATCGTTTAACGTTGTATCATGTAAAAACTCAGTCAGAGGATGTGATGATAGTGGTGTGGGAAATTCAAATGGTTTCGTTTGAAAGTCTTTCCGTATTCCAACTATATACAAACGGCGTCTATTTTGAGGAATGCCGTAATCTTTGGTATTCAGAATAGCATGATGAATCGAATATTCGTCATCTTTGTTTAACTCTACAAGCAGATTGTTGAACTTTTCACCCTTCATATACGTCTTGAAGCGTGGAACATTCTCTAGAATGAATATTTTGGGTGACGTACAACGAATCGTTTGAATACAATGAATTGAAAGATTGGGTCTAATTGAATCGTGTTTTTCGGGTATTCTCTCGTTCAGCCTTCTGAGACCAGAGAATGATTGACATGGGAAACCAGCTACATAGATGTCTATTTCTGGTAACTGACTATGATCTCGAGTCGTAATATCCTCAAACAGATGTTTCGGTGAATGATTCGCTTGTATCATTTTGCGACTATAGGGTCACATCAATGAATCCTTTGCTACCTACGAAACAGTGCATGGCTTAAGTCATCAAATTTCCGCTACGTTATCAGGCCCCTAGCGGGCCCATATCCCAGAAATTGTCTGTCCCCACATATACAAGACATGGACCAGAACACTTACAAGCCCTCCGCAGCTTCGGAACAAGCCAGGGTTTTAAACAGTGTAGCGAACATTTCCCAACGAGAAATTTTTTTCCAGAACATACTCATTCGGCAGACGTCCCACGCAGGCATGCGTACCTCAAACACCCTCCCTGCAACATTCCACACGGCAGTAATCGTACACCTTTTCGCCATCATTAGCAGCTGCGGCGTGAATGGTCAGGACATCGCAGCATATCAATGGCAGCACCCCAACTGCACGGGGTCCTATCAATTGCTCCAAGCATTTGCCCAAAATACCTGTTTCAACGCTACAAATATGCAGGAATCCAACGCCTACTTTTGTGCAGAGGGCCTAATGTGGGGTCGCTCGTACAGCGGACCCGGATGTCAGCAAAGTGCACTGCTTACTACTTCCGGTGCCTATCCCGCTAATGGAACGTGTTTGGCAGGCGGGATTGCATACTATGGGTGCACATGCCATACCCCAGAAGACCTTCATTGTTCGAGCGTAGCGAGCACTACCACCGCGGAAAGTACGACGGCGACAAAGACGTGGACACCAACATGTAGTGCTACATCGATTGGAATGGGGCAATGTAGTGATGCTACCTCCATCAAACCAGCCTCCTCTCTCATCGCCCTGGGCATGGTCATTTGCGCAATAACATTCACTCTCGAATTTTGTTCATAAATAAATACATTGCCCTGATGATGGTCTTGACTGAGGTATATATATATCAAACGATTTTCATTTTACAATAGATGGTTTTGGTTACGATTTGCGCATTGCACTTTTTCTCTTTCGAATATAGAGTAAGAAATCTGGCTATCGAATCAAGAAAAGCATGTATTCAATTCATCAACCAAAAAGTAATTACTCTACACATCAAAACAGAAAACTTGATCAAGGATTAGCTCTGGTATTTTATACAAATGGGAATGCGTAAAGACCCATGCGACATGTCTAAATTATGTATATATAGAGAGAATTCGGAGGTCCAAAGTATGTTGTTTCAGCAATGCTGCACCGCATAAACTCCTATAAACGCGGCATTTGGCATCGATTTCGCAACTCCACTCATGCGAATATTCTACTCCTAGTTGCTTTAATGCAACAATCGGAGCTTCGATACCTGAGAAATCAGTAGCTACTCTCATTTGACATGTACACTAGTAATCTGTTATGATGATTTCCTTATCCTTGTTTTTCCCATTTGAAATGAAAGAATGTCTGTCGTAGTTGGCAAACAGTTTCTTGTGAGTCTCATTGGCGTCTAATGTTAACATCCAGTTAATTCCTTTCTTATGCAAGTCATCACATACGGCTAGTAATTCATTGTAATCTGTTTCGTCGAATATCGAGCTGTAATATTCTCTCACAGAAGCTACATTGTAAGGCGGGTCGAGAAACACAAAATCATCTTGTTCATATTCAAATTGTTTGAAAAATGCAGTATAGTCCAGGTTGGAAATATTCACTTGCTGCAGAAATGTGGCAATCGTTTCTATATGTTCCGTATTGTAAATGTTAGATGCAGCGTTTCTCGCGGAATACGTCGGCTGTATCTTACCTTTCTTGTGTTTCAAATTGTTGTTGAATGACAGTTTCAATAGATACAAATATAGCGCGCTTCTCTTTGTTGTATTCAGTTCATCATGATTGAATATCGCCAAGAACTTCTGGAATGATTCTTTATCTCGTATTGTATTCAGTTCTTGAAGCTCATCAAGCAATTCTTTCTTGTTGTCTCTTATAGCGCTGTACAAGTTCATCATATTCGCATCTTTGTCATTGATGAAATACTGCTTTATATTCTCTTGGTACTTTTCTGCTATATGAAACAGGACGCTTCCACCACCTACAAATTGTTCAAAATAGCGATTTATGACTGGTGGTAGCTTGGCATCAATGTGATTCATGATTTTCGCCTTTGAACCAACATATGATACGAATGGCTTCATTTCCTTTATTTGTATTCAACCAAAAAAAGACAACACATTATTCTACGTGGTAACATTTCATATTGTGGCCGGGTATGAATCCATGCTCGCCGAATACTTCAACAAATCGATCCGAATACGGGAAAGACGGATCACTATCCATGTAGAATATCACACGTGAGAGAATATCGCCTGCATTGCGTGATTTAGGATTGCTAGTCGCTCTTGACATGCTTGCGGCTGTCCGTTGCCAATTTACTTTCTTGTTGACTGAACATGTCAATGACTTCTCATAAACTAAACTTCCCCAGCCTCGAGCTGATCCTGCTGGTACAATGCCTATGATACGTTTTATATTCCCCTTTTCCAACTCCTCATATGATTTTTTGAGAAAAGCCGATATCAAATTGGAACAGTTCTTTGGTCCTCGTTCATGATCGAATAATGCGCTTCCGGGTGGATTCAAATATACCCAATTAGACTCGTCCCAATCCTCTAATGTCAACGCATTGATGAATGATCCGTCCGGTTGATTCCCATATGTTCGTTTCGCCCTCAGAATACTCTCAGTATTCGTACATGGATCCAAATCTACACCATCCGGCGCCGTGAAACGCTCAATTGCTTCAATGAGCCACTTTGGAGAATTAAATTCGTTTTCACACCCTAATCTTTTTTTTAGTGAAATGGCTGGTGATTGAGATCCATCAGAAGGGGTAGACGAGCGAGTTGACGATGGCGGTGACACGGGTGTCGAAGGAAGCGGTTCTTGTTCAACAAGTGAAAGTTGAAATACTAGTTCAGTCTCGGCGAATACGGCATTCAACTCTGATGTTACTACGTTGTCTCTTGTTCGAAAATGAGCCGCCATACTTCTGTAACTGATAAACTACGAGTTGCAGCTTGCTTCTTGAGTGCAAGACATAATTGTATTGAAGTGGGAAGTTGAGCGTGAGAAAATACTTGCTCCAACTCTTTCAAAACTTTTCCCGTATTCGAAACTCGATATCCATTAGAGGTAGATTGATTCCATCGTTCAAATAGATATGTCTCCAGTGAAGCATAACGTGGTCTATAAAGCTTCTCGCTGATTATCGTATTGAGCGCCTTGCATGATTCTAACCACTCGACTTTGAATACTGGGTTGAGTTGCAAATACTCTGGATGTATCAATGATTCTGGGGTTGCAAGTTCGTCGCTCATTATGTATGTCCTTTTGCAATATTTTAAAACCATTTAGCTACCGACGATAGTACAATTTCAGATCCTTCTCCGATGGAAGTGGATGAGGATGTGATGGAAGTGGATTTGGAGACCCTGGGCGTGTACAATCCGAGCACCCAAACATCTGCGCCAGCGAATGGCTTGAATCTATTTTATTATCTTCGCGAGCAGGCAGAAAGAGCGCGACTACAAGCAGAGGCTGAGGAGTTGGACGGCCGGAAGAGGGACGAGGAGACATTTGAGTGGGAGCAGCCACCACCAATGACCACTCATGCACCCCCTCGCCAGAATGAGAAAGATGACCCAAACTGGTTTCCATTCCCCAATCGCAAAACAGCCCTTTGCGCTATTCTCATGACCATGCCGCGACATCCCCTGTCAAATGCGGTCCTGAAAATGATTTGGTGGTGGGCAGGACAACTTGGATTGGTATTACCACCGATTGATGCGATTAAGAAACTGCTGGCAAAGTTACACACCAAGGTTTGTCACAACGAATGGAGTACGTACGGCCATTTCTAAATGTATTTTCCAGACTGGCGGACAAGTTGATGAGCATAAGTCGATCAATGGAACACCTTTTTACATGAACGACGTCAGCTGCATTGTTGCTCAAGAAGTTGCAAATCCCATTGTTATGCAACATTTGCAGTGTTACGCCGAACGCAACGATGCAGTCTCCGAAATCTACCACGCCGGTAAATGGCATCA